GATAGAGTACAGTTCCATTCCCTCTGCTGCTGCTAAGTTGGGAATTGCAGCCACAGCAACTGACAGCTTTTTTTTTTCCGCGAGTCTGGAGTTGCTCTCTGGGAGTGATGTCCTCATCGGGATGGGAAGTAAAATGACGGGAGAAAGGCTCACCCTGGCCCTGTGCTACGGAGGAACTCCAGGGACCTCTTCTAGGGGAAACAGTTACTTGAGGTGGGTGCTACTAATGAGAGCAAAAATCAGGAGGAGAATGCTCCGGGAGGAAATACCAAAATCTTGCCGTTTTGAAGAAAATGGGCTTTTCAATTAGAGAGCACAGAAAAGGGAGAGAAATTATGGAAAAGAATTTCTGACAACGACCATGTTTTTAAAAGTGTTATAAAATTGTGTCATTTACTGATGGAAACATCTTTTATTTCACAGTCACAGGGGCTGAACTCTTGGTGAGTCCCACTCTATATAGTGATAATATACTGTGCTTTGATATGTGAAAGTAAAATTGAAATGAGGAAACAGTAACTAAAATGAACGTGATTTCAAATTGTCCCATTCAGGCCTGAGTTTTGACATGGGAAAAAAATTACATAGCAGCTTCGGGCTTAGTCGCCGATTCCAGAATTTAACGCAGATGGCAACTAATTTTGGTGCCTCTTTAGTTGCAAAAGTACCTATTTTGGAATATATTTAATTAACCAGGATTTAAAGGCTCCTCTTGTTTGTGAACACCTTGGCTTTTTTGTCATCTGTCAGCATCATGATGTGCACAGTAATTGAAAGGTTCTGAGGCATGAGCTATTTAGGTGGTTTTGATGTGCACTTGCTTTTCTGAAGGATGTTTAAACAAAGCAGTGCTGCCATTTCTACAGTTTCATTCAGTACTGCTTGCTTGAACCTGCTTCTATTGCCCCTATAATAAAGGCTACAAAAAATACTCGAAGAACCACAATGCTCTTGGCTATTAATACATGTATATATCGCTTCCTTTCATCACAGAATTATACATACTGGACCGAGCTGGTCATTTATGCTGCTCTCTGCAGAATTTCGCTTTCTAAATATGTTTCTGTTTTAAATAACCTTTTACTACTAAGGTGCAAACTGCTGCTTTAAAGTACCGACTGCTAACCGTCTTCTGTTTACTGCTCTACGAGGACTCTTCCAAAAACAAAACTGTGTTATTCTACAGCTCCAATAAACAAAATAAATGCGACTGATATCTGTTTCTGCTGTACTTTTCCCAAGCTTTGGTTCTTAGCCTACTGGAGCTGAGAGAGAAAGAAAAGAAGAAATACAAAATTGCAGTCGGAAAAGGTGTAAAGTCCAGATTCCTCTTTGCAGGCTTTAAAAAAGCAAACTAGCAATTCATGATCACAAAATAAAATATGCACATTTAAACAAGCTGCAGGGGAAAGGAGAGTTTAATCCAGTGAAATTGTGTTTGAAAGCTATTTCATACCCCTAGGAATAAAAACTGAATAGCAATTCTGCTTTGCTCCCACCCTTTTTCCACCCTTCTGTTAATATATTACCATTTGTTATGGAATCGTTACAAGACTTCTACCCCAGAGGTGGCTGCATTTCATTGAAGAATGAAGTACTTTCTGGGCCTGAGTCTCTTACTCGCAGGAGCAGACAGTACTCACTGCAACTGCACTGATGCTGCTAGTAAAGCTATTTTTGATTTGCACCTGAGCAAGAGAAGAATTAGGCCCACAGTTTGTAAAGCCCTTTGTGATTTACCTGGGTGAAAGCTACAACACAAATGGGTTGTTTATTGTAAACAGAAGTATGATACTAAAGGAGGCACTGATACAAAGAGCTGTAACTATCTGCTTCAAGAATTATCAAAATGGAAATGACGATCTCAAAGAGGAATGACGATTCAGAAAAGATTCAGCCCTAGAAAGATCAAAATGCATTTGACATAGTTTCGGTGTTGATGTGAAATAAAGTGTCTTTAAAAGTGTAATTTGAGATCAAAAATCCCCATCATCAAACATAAATAGTGCCCCATTTATCCAATTACACTACCTTGTTTCATTACAATGGTCTGTAATATATTTCTTAGGAATACAAGGCTTAAAATTAATAATAGAAAAGGACAAAATTGCCATGTATATTTCTCTAGATAGATTTTCATCTAGCAGCAGGACTTCACTTCTGATTCACTCGCTGGTTCTCTCTAACCTTTACATTATTCATTAATCAAACTAGAAACCTGCTTTCAAAGTCAGTGCATGGTAGTAATTATTTACAGTTGTGCATAGTATTTAATTTTAAGCAATGACAAAAGCAGGCATGTCCAGAATCATAAGGCTTATCATTTTTCTTCTGTTGGAGGTAAACTATCTAAAGAAGCTGAAAGTTGCAAACTTCTCTTCAATATCTCTGCTGCCATCAAGACAAAATGCAGTGCAACTGATACCTTTGAACTTGTACAACTAAAAATAAATAAAAGTGAAAATTAAGTAATATATAATGTATTAACTCCTTTAAATAAAAGGAATAAGGAGCTTTGCTATCAGCCTTGATGAGAGATTCATTTCTTATTGCACAGTCTGTCTACTGTCACTTTGTGGTATTTTTCACCATACAAACCAGAACCTCAGTGCTATCCCTGAAAATGAAAGTCAGTTTTAAGAACTATATACAACAGGCACGTCTGCTGTTTGAAACCCCCCCTACCCCCCACAAGCACACAAATACAACTTCAAAGCAGGAGAACTATTGCAAAGGTATAAACCTACTCCAAATCAGTTATGCTGGATGAAAATGGACTGCATTTGCAGTGTTTTGCTCACCTGAAACAACATTGATCTGAGGACAAATATAATCAAAGAAAGGCACCACTGAAGAGCAATGAACATTTTACAATAAGGAAGGAAAGATGTAATTGTGGTCATTCAAATTTCTCCCTAATCATTAAGAGTCTCAAAAACACTGTAGCATTCTGAATGAAAACATATCTTACTGTATTCTCAGCAGGGAAATCCCGGGAAACAACAGCAATGGGCTTTGCTCGCAAAAATTTACTTAGACTATGTTTCTAAAAAAGAACAGGGTGTCCCTTCTACAAAAAGATACTACACACTCTCCAAGTGAAAATTCTACTTTGAAAAGAATAGAAAATGAAGCCTCATACTCCTGACAGAGAGAAAAAAGGAGCAGTTCTAGCACTGTCACTGTGATGATCAGCATCCATGAAAAAATAGCTATTTATCCTGCAAGTTGAAAATGTTAATGTCTTATTCACATATATCCTCTTTGTGAATAAAACAATAATAGCAACTCATCAGAGAGTTCTTACAAATAGGTATATATATATATATATATATATATATATATATTTCTAGCTTAACTATTATTTATGGTTAAAGGGCATCTTTGCTTGCCAGGAATCATACTGGAAACCTGCATAGGTACACTCATTGGTCACGTCCCAAAAGACTCTGCCTGCATATCATTGTCCTACACCTATATGAATCCAGCAAAATATGTAAGTTTATAAAAGTTATGCGTGTCCCAGTTTCTCTGAAATAACATTTACCTTTGAATGAATCCCAAGCACTACTTTTCAAAGTTTATTCAAGTATGCCACTAAAGTTGCCCATACATTTTGTCCCACATATAGTATGCTACACCTAGGAAATATTCAGAAGGGGGAGGAAAAATAGTAAACCATTTTTTAACTAAACCCATAAAATATTAGTTGTCTTTAAAGAACTAATCTGATGAAGGACACAAAGAAAAAAAAGAAGGGAAAAAACCCGCCTACATTAAAAGCCAAACAAGATAATAATTGTGCATGTCTGGCTAAGAGAATCTAGAGGGCAAGCCTTACGTCATTGGCACTTGGGTTACCATGGTGAGTGATTTATTGATATATATCAAGAATGAATAGATCAAAGGCAGCAAGATGACAGGTGATCAATCAAATGTCAAATCAAAGCTGGCAATCAACTGGAAAGCTGATTTTTCAGTGGGTGGGTCTGGCAGAAGAAAAATGAACTTCCATATTGCGCTTCCCAGAAACAAAACCCCACCACACTATTAAAAAAAAATAAAAAGCAATTAAGCAGCCTGAAAGAAAACTCTTTGAAAAGATTTACTATACAGGCTCACTCATCTGTTTCTTTTTCTTGGCCCCCAAAAGAAAAAGAACACCCTACAAATGACAAAACAAAACACTTCCAAAGTTGCAAACTATTTTCTTCTCTTTTTTTCAAAAAAATGAAAAATTGCAAAACCACTTGGCATGTGCAAAGATATAAACTCAGCTACAAAACAAAAGAGGGATTTGATCTGAAAATGTGGATTGTCTTCTAACAGTCAGAACGTTTCATTTTATTTCCTGTTGCAATTTTCACCACTGATGATCAAAGGCTGAACTTCCCCACCGGGTTCATCAGCAGAGACAGTCCCTGTACTATTTCAGGCATACACAACGCGCGCACACACACACACACACACACACGGCCAGCATTGCCACCAGAAACACGGCGAAATAAAAGATTATACACACCGACCCACTTCGCGAAACAGACGGTTTAAAAACAAAAACCACCAGGAGGGGGGAAAAAAATCAGAAAGGAAAGGGAAAAAAAAAAAAAAAAGACTAAAGCGGGAAGCAAATGGGAGGCTGCTTTCGGTTCGGTACGGGAAAGGGGCCGGGGGAGAAGGGGAGCCGAGTGGAAGAAAGTTGGGGGGAAAAGTTTAGCCAGGGCAGGATGGGAGCTCGGAGCAGGAGGCAGCGGGGACCGAGCGCGGTGGGAGCGGCGGGAGGGTGGAAGGGGACAGCCCATGTCAGAGTAAAGATCTTGGCAGTAAGGAATGAAACTGGCTCCATAGAGTTACGAAGGGAAAGGGAGGGGGAGGGGGGATAAATAAATAAAGATCCAGCCCGGAAAAGCAAGGGTGACCCTAAATAATAATAAAGATGGGGGGTAGGATTGGAAGGAGTGGAGAGACAGAGGCTGTGTAAGTGGATGGCTTCTCCTTACCTGCAGCCCGTTTGGGTGCTTGCTGTTTCCTCCTTGGCATCGCTCTACTTTCTCCAATCTCACTTCTGTCCCCAGATCCGAGAGCCCTGAGACGCTCCTGAGTCGTGTTTCTCTGCCTCTGCCTCTGAGCTGCTTTCCCCAACACCCCCCTCAAGCCTCCCCTGCCCCCCTCCTTTCCACTTCACTGATAGGAACCTGTTTGGTTTTTATTTTATTTTAGAGATCTAGGTTTCTTTCTTTCTCGCTCTTTTTTTTTTTTTTTTTTT